AATGTTTTTATTTCAAATTTAAAGTTTTAATTTTTTTTTTATATGAACCATGATGTTTTTTCTTTTCTTTTATGATCTTGCTGGTAGAATATAAAAACACATTACCTTTGTGTTACTTCAAGTAGTTTTGTTTTTGTTATTTGGTATGTGCATTGGAGTCTTATGGTGTGTGCGAATTACAGTGCGGGGACTTTGCATCATTTTGTTAAAAAAAAAAAAAAAAAGTGATTTGGTGTGGGTGACTTCATTCCGTTCATTGGGTTTCTTTTTAAAACAAATTATTCTAAGTGCACTTGGTCTGTGAGATACTTCATGTTGGTTTTACTGATTTATTTTAAAATGTAATCTCACAGTGGTGTGTGCATCGCTGTGATATGCACACGCCTTTCCACAAGTACGCACACACTTTCGGCAAACTACCACATCCATTGCTTCTGCATTTTTAAAATAAATTTTAACATAAAGAAAATTACACTTTTGGTCCTATGAAGTATTGAACTATTTGTCATATATTTTGTACCGCATTGTACAGATCATTGCCGTCGGAGCAAAGCAGTCCAAGAGGTAGCGGTCAGGTAAGGAGCGGAAAGGATGGTCAATTACACTTCATGATCTTTCCGGTTCACTGGTTGCCGCTGCATCAATGGTGACCCCATTTGTTGCCTCTCCCGGTTCGAACCTTTGCCCCCACTTGGTCAATTACAGTTCTCGCTTCGATTTGGGAACTAAAATTTGAAATTCAAATGACTGTTTTGTCCCCACTTATATTTAATTTAAAATGGGTTTGGTTTTTCCGGTCAAATTCGCCGGTGATTTGGCCGGGAGGGCCAAATGTGTTAGAAATTGCATAGTTACAGGACTAAATAGTTAGTTTTTAAAGTTAAGTACTGAAAATAACACGCCCCTTATAGTTATAGGACCAAAAGTGTAATTTTCTCTTTTAACATAACATAAAACGTTGATCATTCATGCTCATTCTGAATACCAATTATTTTAATACAAAACCTAAAATAAAAAAAAAATAAAAACATTGTTATGACACCGTCATTCCTAGACCGCATTACAATAACTCGCACACGTTGTTACATATATACACACACACCACTGTACATTACCACTCCGGTGCACCAAAAAAAAAAAAAAAAAAAAAAAAAAAAAAAAAAAAAAAAAAAAAAACTAAGGAATAGTACACTTACAATCTTTTCCTTAAAATCAAAACGTAAAATAAAAATCCACGCACACACCTAATATTAATGATTGTTTTAAAAAAAAAAAAAAAAAAAACAAAAACAAACAAATATCAAAGCCCACATCCCAAACCTTTGCACACGCCAAAGCACAAAATCGCACAGACCACCGTAAGTTACAACTCCTGTGAACCAAAAAAAAATAAACAGAACATATTACTCTTACAATCCTCTTCTTTAAAAACAAATTGACAACATGAATTCATGCACATACATAATAAATATTTGCGTAAAAAAAAAAAAAAAAAAAAAAACAAAAAAAAAAACAATCCCCATCCACAGAATTTGCACACGCCAGCTCACATACACGCACACACCAACGTAAAATAAGTTTTTACATTGCTTCTGCATTCTTAAATTAAGTTTTAGTATATCAAAAAGCGTGGATGCATTGTCAAACTTAGTAACAATTACTTTTACCCAAAACTCAAATTAAATGAATAAAAACAAAATTATAATAATACTATCATGCCAAGACCACTTTTAAATAATTTGCACCCGGCACACACCACCGTACATTACCACTCCGGTGCACAAAATCAACGAATGAATAATACACTTACAATGGTTTTCTTAATAACAAAACATAAACAAAAAATCACGCACACACATATTATTAATAATGATCGTACTTTTTTTATAAAAAAAAAAAAAAAAAAAAAAAAAAAAAAAAATCACAATGCCCCCATCCCTAAGCTTGCACACGCCGAAGTAAATTTTTGCACACCCCCGTAATTTCAACTCCGGTGTTCAAAAAATAAAAAACAACACGTAGTACTCTTACAATCTTCTTCTTCAAAAACAAACCGTATATATGAATTCACACACACACACACACACACACACACACACACACACACACACACACACACACACATATATATATATATATATATATATATATATATATATATATATATATATATATATATATATATATATATATATATAGATTTAGGATCATATGAGAATACTTGCTTAGGTGAGAACAAATCTTGTGCATCAATCTAATTAAGTTTAATGGTCTAGATTAAGTGTGTGCGAACGCACTTAAGTGTGAGCAAATGCGGGTGACATTGTGAGATCAAAATTTGTGCATCAATCTAATAAATTTAATGGTCTAGATTGATCTAGATTAAGTGTGTGCGAATGCAATTAAAGGTGTGCGAATGCAATTGATCTAGACCATTAAATAATATTATATGGATGCACACGATTTGTTCTCACATTCTCACCTAAGCAAGTGTTCTCATTGGAACTCTCATATATATATATATATATATATATATATATATATATATATATATATATATATATATATATATATATATATATATATATATATATATATATATGAGCTCTCATATGTGGTCATGTCATTAGGGGTGGCGGGTGTGGTTGTATCTGTGTCGTTAAATCAGTTTAATCTAACGGTAGTAGCTAATTCTGAGGATTTTCACGCGTGGGGGTGTTATGGTAATTACAGTGGCCATTTATAGCGGCCGGGTTTCATAATACACCAACAGTATTGACAACATGCACCAATAGTGTAATAAAACACACCACAGTGAATTGAAACACACCAATAGTGTATTCTCGAACACTGTATGGTATATTTATTCATATCTAATAGCGCGTTTTTTGTGATGTGTACCTAATTTGTGTATGTTTTTTGTTGTGCATTTCATAACATGGATTGTGTATATTTGTATAGCAATTGGTGCGGCTGCACGGGAAGGCGTTGCCGCACCTGAACTTGGCACCAATGGAAATCTACAAATACACCAGAGTAAGGCTAATAATGCACCAATTACACAAATTAAACACACAACAATGTGATTTTCCCTATTTCGGTGCCTTATGACGAGTTTACCCTTGCAGTTCGCTGGGTAGGGGAATGTGCCAAAATATTGGAAGAATCTTGATTAATATGATTCATTGGATATATCTAATTTAATGGCCTGTAATTGACCATATGACCACACCTAACAACATGGACAGATGTGATCACCCCCAGGCGAGAACAAATGCCTAGGAAAAAACTGAGAATCAATCGCAACCGTTCAAGTAAATAACTCAAACTTTGGTGAAAGTATGCAAGTAAAAATTGCAAGTAAAATCACTTAAAAATGCAACCATTTTCGCTTAGTAGTTCAACTAATTTACATTTTTAACATTAGTACACCTAATGATAATATCTTTCACATTGGTACACTTAATAATAATTTTTGGTGAAAACTAATGATAACGTTAGATGCACTTAATATTGATACTCAGTGTACATTAATTGTTGCACTTTTAATACATTTTACTTTCACTTAGATACACTATACGAAACTGTTACTTGTACTTTTAACACAATTTACTTGCACTTCAAAGTTTAATTATTTACAAAAATGTCACCGCATGTTTTTTAAAAAACAATGTAGTTGCGAACGATTGGTTCTTAATTATCTTTTGGGCAATTGGTTACCATCTAATCCGTCCTCTCTCTCTCTCTCTCTCTCTCTCTCTCTCTCTCTCTCTATATATATATATATATATATATATATATATATATATGAGTTAATACCATCTGAGGTCCTCCGAGTATAGTGGTTTTGCCACGTTTAGTCCTAAACTTTCAAATTGACCATTTGTGGTCCTTCGACTTTCAAATTTAACCATTCGTGGTCCAAGTTAACCACTTATGGTCCTTCAAGTTCCGAAATTTAACCAGTCGTGGTCCTCTTAAAAGGACCATGGTTGGTTAAAATTTAATAGTTGAAGGACCATGGGTGGTTAACTTGGACCACGGATGGTTAAATTTGAAAGTCGAAGGATCACAAATGGTCAATTTGAAAGTTTAGGACTAAACGTGACAAAACCACTATACTCGGAGGACCTCGGATGGTATTAACTCATATATATATACACACACACACATATATATATATATATATATATATATATATATATATATATATATATATATATATTCCAGTGCGGCTGAAAATGTATATATAACTAGAAATTAAAAAATTTTAATTTCTAAACACGAACAAATCTAATATTATTTAAATTAAATTATTAGAATATAGAAACATACTATAACAAAATATTTTTTAATTCTTGAAATTGGCCCACCGACCCACGAGTGTGCATGAGGCGAGTTGGCATTGAAGAATTCTAGCTTGCAAGGTTCGCCGACCAGCTCGGAAAAATTACAACACACTGTGCAAGCCAAATCACATTGACACCCCTATATACACATACTTTTGCGTTGTCATAATCAACCTACTGATATATAAAATGAAATTCATACAGATATGCATATTGTGAAATGAATCAGTAGTGGGATTAAAATAATACTTTAGTGTTGTTATAATGAACCTAGTGTATGTATTTAAATGAAATTGGATAACCATAGCATATATGTATAATGTATACCGTCTGATGAACACGCAGTATAATTAAAATGATAATTTAGTGTCACTATAATTAAACCATAATGTGAAGAAAAAAATAAATTCATACAATATGAAAAAAGGTAATAATTTTTTTTCTAAAATTAAAATCAAACATCATTTTACTTCATGGTCCACACAGCTACACAGCCCATGGTCCCATAAATACGCAATATCAAAATGCCATGATTTTTCCCCTGCTATACTCAGCATGCATACATGGTCCTAACCCTAAAGCTAGCTGCTACCCTAAAACCAAAATTTCCCATTCATCATTCAATTTCAGTAGCCTATATCAAGATGCATGTAACATCGACAACATTTATGCATTATCTTTGTGAACTGTGATGTGTAGATACAGATAGATACAAACGTACAAGAAACACCCATAGTTGCATACAGAAAAAGTTAAAAGTATCAGGTACTGTAAAGCAATATACAATAGCACACGGTTGAGATACATGAAACTTTCGTGTATTTTGAATTTTTGATTGAATTTTTTTTTTTTTTGGCAAGGACAGTTTTAGCATATTCCATCAAAATATTTTAAAAAATGAAAAGGCATAAAATGATGGAACCCTGTATTCAGTAGTTTCCAAGCCTCCATCCGACCCTATTTCGACATCTCCACTCCCCACCCAAAAAAAAAAAAAAAAAAGGAAAAAAAGAAAGTAACGACCGTCTGCTTCATACAGCCACAAATACCAGACAAGCTCCCAAAAAACATTGCTCATCTGTATGATCAGGTTTTAGACATCACAACTTCTAAGATCTTTCCCCATCAATCAATCAACCCGACCACAATTGGAACATCAATAACAAATTTGTGAGGGCAAATCTGAGATTAAATGAAGAAATTCACAAGCATTAGAATTAACCTGTGTTGCCTCCGGGAAGACATCATATGAATCTTGCCCCATTGAAGTTTTTCTTCTCAATAGAGTGCTCTATGTCTACTCCAAGCCTGTTAATATAATCACATATTCACTACCGATCTTCCAGCTTCCAAAATGGTGTTGGCTTTTCTAGATCTATAAGATCAAAGTGTACTTTGCATTGATGTGTTCTGTTATCTCCACTCGCGACAGTTACCACATCTCCAGATACTTTCTGTAGATGGTTGTTCAACCCAAGGAGAACAGTGACCGTGGATTTGTATGCCACAGGTCTGACAACAAAGAGTAGGGCTTGGATCTGTATGGGAGCACATCATACAAGGAACAACTGCAGGAGCATCAGATTCTACAGGAATCAAAGGCACATCCCCAGCGTTAAGAATATTAGACATTTCATCAAGTGGAAGCTCAGATGCATTTTCCCACTTCTCAGTAACATTCCCAGATCCCCCATCAAATGGTGCACAATCATCAGATTCAAGCAACTCGTTGAATGAGAAATAGGTTTGAGGTTCGAATTCCATATCCTCATAGCTGAGACCATCACAATTAAGAACCGCACCATCTTCACAGCCATTTGTTGAAGTATTCCATTCAACTCCAAGATTGGTGGGTAATTCAACTTGAGGATCAGCAAAGGAATAGTCTGGATCATCAGACTTCATAGGCCTTCTTCTGACTGGAAGTTTGGCACCCCAATCAACACAAGGAGTAATCACTTCTCCAGTGGAGCACATCGTATTTTCCCCAAAATTCGTTGAAGAATAATCATTTGAAGGATTGTTTGCAAAAGCAGAATCCAAGTAGTTTCCATGCTTTACATGCCTCCTGATTGTCAATTTTTTAGGCCCCCGTCCAGATAATGATGCAGTGTTTTCACAATAAGCTTCTGGATTTTGTTTAGTAATTTTCTCCATCGATGAAAGAGAATGGAAATCATCCACGATAGAAGCAATTTCCTCCTTTAGGTGAACCATAGGAGTCGAAGGCTCTTCCTCTTGATATTTCTCCGAGATTATCCCAGAATCAGAGTCCATTCCTAGATCATCAACCTTTGAAGGTCTTGAACGGATCCTCTTTTCTGTCAACTGTTTTTTGCTATCTGGATCTAAGTAAGGACAAATAGGTATTCTGATCCTGCGACATCTACAGCATTTGAACCCCACCACATTCGATATCTTTGACTCCTCAAGTTCAAGAGCATCTGCATGATACCAATCTGCAAACACACAAAAATCCAATGCATTAATGGCCAAAGATTATCAGTGAACATCACATACTTTATATCTTGCAAACAAAGAAGCATACTTTGGCATGTTTCACAGTGGATGTACATCAGATTAGAATTATATGCTTTACGGCAGAGATGGCAATCTGGTCCAGACCCATCTATGGGATCGCCCTTTCTAAGAATGTTTTTCTTTCTAAATTCAGCACCAGTGTCAGTTGCATTTGGTTTCTTCCAAATCACACCCCAACTCTTTGTTTTTGCTTTTGAATTTGCAGAGCTAGTTTGTTTCACTCCAGAAGAGCGTCCATTGCCTCCAGTTGACACTGAAAGCCGATTAGAGCTGCCAAGCACTCCCCCTTTGCGGACTGTATCAACATTTGAAAAATCTTGCCCTTTCAAAAGAAGAGGGCTAGTTGGAGATTCGTTACTAATTGCACATCGAGTAACAGAACTGTTTTGGTAACAGTGTTTGCAAGTGATTATGCATTGAACATCTTCATTTATTTTAAGCATTGAACTGGTTGTACACTGCTTGTGACAAAGACCTGCCCAGAAATAAAACATTTGGTGACTAACTGGCAAGACAGAGAAACATCAATATTATTAGAGAAATGGGAAACGGATAGATAATTGCAATACCTTCGCACACACTGCATTTAATGCCATTCCTGAAAAAGTTATTCCACATTAGTAAAATGGACAAGTATGAAATGCCATATTAATAAAAATTAACCAGCTAAATAGCGAATAAATCTATGTCTATATCAGTGTTGGCGGCCCTAGGCTGAGGGGCTTTCAGACCTAGGCAGCTTTAAGTCGGCCAGCCGACTAGGCTCCCTTGGTGCCCAACTCATCGTGTGTGTGTGTGTGTGTGTGTCAAAGCATCAAGTGTCCACAGAGCTTAGCATCGCCTCTCCACAGCGTCAGAGCCTTAGTCATCGTCACAATGGCCACAGACACTCCTCAGCTTCCTCATCCAATCGTCATCAAAGTCTCTACGTTGAGTCATCTAGTCACCACTCCTCATACATATTCCTCCAGCCAAGTACTCAACTAATAGTCTAACATATGTAGTTGACTAGTTTTGGGGATGGCTATATTTGGTAGAGCTTATTTTAAAATTTTAAGCTCCAAATAAATTTTAAGTTATGTTTGGTAAAACATGGAGAGCTTAAAATAATAGCTTATTTTAAAACACTAACCTAAGTACCGTTCCAAAATAAGACAGTAGCTATTAGCTTTTAAGCTTGGCCTATAACAGTCTTACAGCTCACAGCCCACTGCCTTGTATTTATTTATTTATTTTATAATTACTTGGCCACTTAGGCGCTAGGCGCCAGCAGGGCGCCCAACTAGTGCCATCTACAACATTGGTCTGTACACAAGAAAATTGCATACAGTGGACCTCACATGCAGGGTCTGCAATGCAATAAAAATTTTCTAGCGAATAAACAGCAGTATGAAAATAAGTACCTTAACAGTACATCTGTTTGACAAGAAGCACAGGAATGCTTATCATTACCATCTCTCTTCCAAGTGAGATAAGAGAATATATCTCCACGGAATGTCTTTGATGATTTTTTTGACCACTTAGAAAATGCATTCATGGGGTTGTCAATGGGAGATGGAAGATTTTTAACTAACGTAGCTTCATACTCTTTGATTAGATACAGAGGAATACGTGACTCAGAGAACCAATACTTTTCCTTTCCATCCTGTCTTTGCCCTATCTCAATAACACTCTTCATGACACGTGAAGAGAGATGTTTCTGATTTCCAAACGCAACACCATATCTTATTTCATTGTCAACCATTGCTTTATCACATATAAAAGCATTTCTAAAAGCAGATGCTTCAGTCTCCAGACCTTTTCCCTCCTGAACACTTAGTTCAGGACGAACAAGATCACTCCACCTCACATGCATATCAAGGTATCTCACCTGATACAAATGACATGTTCATATGTTAATATTAGAGGAATTGTTATTCTTGTGATTACTTTTACAAGCAATGTCTCTGAACGAATGAAAATTCAAAATGTTGTGATGAAAGCACCTGAAGTGCAAGCTGTGATGCAGTCTTACACATATCAACTGCAGCTCGCCATACCAGCCGTCTGTTTCTTTTTGGAGTTTCAGACCCCTCGCTGTAATATATGCCAGGTATTTTTCTTTTGCCACCTGCTAGACTCAATTTATTAGAGGATACTCACTTTTACAATCATGCTTGGGCAATAGATAGCTTATGGGAAACTAGAATATATATGGCCAAACCCAACTAGACTGGCATTGAAGATTTAGTTGAGCCTAGTTTTATTAGCCTCCCTTTTAAAACAATTTCACAGGCAAATCTATAAGCTTCTATCTGGATATGGTAAGTTCAAAAGTATGCTTAATACCTTGACGCGCTGCTTTATTCACCAAAGTTTTAGGTAATGTCCCTCTTTGAAACATAAACTTTAATAGCATGCCTACTCTCCACCAAGTGTAGTCTGTTAACACACCCTGGCCTTCATCAGCAGCGACAACAGAAACAGCAGAAGGCTTTCTACCACGCCTCCCTGGTTTACGCTTATGAGTTGATCCAGTAACACTTGATGCAGTCTGGGAGACAGAAGATTCAGATGAACAACCATCAACAAGCTTGACCCAGTCAGCAGAAAGAGCAACCGTGCGTATGTTTTCCTCGAGCTTCAAGAGAAGAAGCATTCAATTTTAGTATGAACATAACATAAAAGCTTATATTAGATCATAAATAGTATAATATTTGTTGTGGATTTTTTTAAAGGCAGCAAAATTGAAGGTTCATAGTAGAAATTTGCTTTACAACCAACTCGTTGATCACGTTTGCATTATTAAAAATCTAAAATCCTTTGGACTTACTGCATATATGAAATGTAGAAATGAAGGAAACCATCATCAAATTAAAATAAGTGAGAGTTCGTAAATATAGAACATGTTCAACAGACAGTTAACCAGTTAAACTTGTTTCATCATTAAAAAATACAACTAGCTTTATATCAGTGAAATATCATCAGTCCTTTGCCATGCCTATGGGATAACAGTCACCACCTAACCCTTAAGAGCAAAGAACAAAACTGCTAAAGGGTGAGGATAAAGAGAAACTATCCTGTAGTTCTCCACGACTCCACTTCTAAATTTCTTATCAATTTGGTTAAGAGAGTTGAAATAAACAATAGGAATTATCCACATGAATGGTTTTTGCCCAATTAGCAAGCAAATAAATACTTCGGAAGTATACAAAGAAACAAGTCACACAACCACCTGCAATAAGAAAACACGGTAGTATGGGACACCGCACCCAAAAAAGAAGAAGCTTACTTCAAGTAAAAGAGACTTTATAGAATAGCAAGATGTAGCTTCTTCTGCTAGTCTGCGCCAATTTTTTCTAAAAGCTGCACTTAGAAAGGGACCAACTGTTAAACCCCTTAAACTCTCCTCCATCAATATTATATATGTGGCAATGCCAGGAAGATTTCCATCTCCACTCTTTGCAGGACGAACAGTAGCAAGTATCTTCATGGCCCCTTTAGTTGCATTTGATGCAGCTGCATTTAGCAAGCATGCTTTTTTACTAACCACAGGAGCTTTACAAGAAAGACACCAACTACACCTTTCCCTAGGAACTTCAATAAGTTTTTTTTCAATATTTGGCCAGAAAAAGCGTGTTGCTGCTGATGAGAAAGCTTTTGTCTGAAGTTGAATATCAACAGACATAAGTTTCCGGCGCTTCTCTAAAGAAAGAGACTCAGAAGACTGGTTCTCTTCAGAAGAAAGTATTGCCAGATTAGCAGCAGCAGATGCAGCAAAATCTCCATGTAGATAATTATTTACATATCCCTGAGCTTTGAAGGAAGAGCCAGTGTATAACCCACCTTCAGTAGAATTTTTATAACATCTTTCAGAAAGCACTGCTCCAAGACCATGAACACTATCATATCCTATGCAGTTGCTACTGTTTCTTGAGGTACATGAAGCAGTTTCTATCAAAACTGTGTTTTCTTTCTGAGTCTGCCTAGGAAAATCAACCTTTTGGCTAACTGAGCCAGCACAGACAGTAGGTCTTCCTGGAATCTGCTTAAGTGGCACAGAATTCATATGCTCACTAGCCTGTCTTACAGTGAAATTGCCATTATCAGGATGGACTATTCTACCTGAAGCCTCATTCAGCATCAATTCCTTTGGATACTTATGAAAGTTTGTATTTTCTAAACTTATCTCAGATGCACAACTGGCAATATTCTCGAGTGATGCTACAGAACAACCACTATCTTCTATTCTGTTTGTTATTCCTGTACCAACTTCAGTTACTATGGTATGAGGCAAGACATTGGATGGAATTCCCCAGAACTCTCTAATCCCCTTGCATATTTCTGAATACAAGGCATGATGTTGCACATTTGTATTAAGTGCTTGGAGTACTCTAGAAATATCATTTTCATTGTAGTATCTGAAGCAAGTCTCTGAGTTAGTTGAATCCTTTAACCTGCATCAAATGGTTGGAAATGCATTTGATAAGATAACCAAACTAATAACATAGAAGAGTAATACTTGGGACAGTAGCTCAATAAGAAGGCCTTCCATACCTTCAAATAGAAGATTAAATTTTTTGATAATAAGAAAAGCCAACAAAAATAGACAGAAGAGAAGTAATTAGACAAGAGACATACACAAGTAAATGATCACAACTACCCAAGAAGATTTGTCCATGAGAATCAACACCAAACAATTCTGCTCCTTTTAAAGATGTTCCCCTTATTGGTGTTGGTCTCAGTTCATTAATTCGGCATTCAGGGCAGTACCAGTTTCCATCTGGTATATACATTTTGCAAACCCCTATGCACCTTGGATGGTAAGATGATGGACATCCATCACAGCAAAGCAAAGTTCCTTCCATGCCACAGAGACGACATTCATCACCATTACCATCATGATCCACATCAGTACCAGCATCTGTTGAACTAACTTTTGAACTCAAAGAACTAGCATTATGAGATGACCTCATATCATGATCTTTTGCAATAATCTCCATACTCTCTTGCTCCTTAAAAGCAGATGTTTTAGAGTACCTAGGATGAACCCTTCTTGGTCCACTCATAGGGGCAACAGCAGTCCCATCTGAATCCATTCCAAATTCTGATTCTTCACGTATGTCCATTTCTGCTCTTACTTCTTCAGAATCTAAGACGTCATCACACAAGATCTGCAAAACCATCAGCTTCTGCCCAACAGAAAGAGAATAATATTCCCTCTCTAAAATGTGAGCACTAAATCCTTTCCAAACAGGTGCATTTATGTATCCCATAATCATTAGATACTCGACCAGATAAATTGGCCAAGTCATTGAATCAAGCAAGCTCCAATCCAGGTTCCTACAACCAAGTGCTATATTAAACTCATATTCACTCCTTTCAAAAAAAAAAAAAAAAAAAAAAAAAAAAAAAAAAAAAAAAAAAATCATATTCACAGAAATTTATAAAATAAGAACGCATGCATCATAATTAATTGTCAAATAGAAAAGGATACATGCATAAGAAATTATGAATGATTCCTCCACATGTCAATATGTCATCCACAATAAGGCACAAATGGCACAATTACTATAGCTTCATGCACAAAATTAGGTTTGCAGCATTTTAATCTATACTTTCCTTTAATCTAAATCATGATAACAGATTTAAGTCAAAATATCAAGGGTTCACCATATAGTCAGTACTGCATAGAGAACTCATGATTAGGCATAATTTGTACAACCATGCTTCATAAATATGTCAAAGTCAAACATAGTAGTAACAAAACTATGGTGAGACCTTTAGTCTACAATACAACAATATAGTCATCATACATGGCAATTGATCGCGCATATGTAACATGCGATTTAATATGCCCTCATATCAACAATGCCACAACCACACTAATAGGAATAACTAAACAGTAACTTTGTCCTTTCCTAAACCTTCACATCACACTAATAAATTCCTGACATTTAACTAAGACTGTTGTACAGTCGAATTAGTAGTGATGTAATTAAACACTCACCTTTTTCACTGATCTCATTTCTCAACATCAGTAATAACATGCATTTCTATGACAATATCAAACTTTAGCTTAATCTACAAGTACAGTGAAAAGTAATGCATATGTTCTCTAATTAACAGGCTGAGAGAAGTACCTTAAACATTTTGATGCGCGCTCAGAACCATCCAATGACAGTTTTTCAATATGACGCCTCAAAACCCTCATTAAAGCAACATGAACAGAATCAAGCAATGTATTCGGACTATGACAGTTCAGTGAGCCCACAAAATCATCCAGTGCAAAGGGACTCAAGAATAACTGGATACTAAATGACCTCAAAAAGCTATATACTGAGAAAAGATATGACACAAACTCCTCTGGAACAGCAATATTCCCTGAGGAAGGAGGGAGTTCTGGGGGTGGGATAACAGGTGTCTCTACATTTGAAATCAAATCCAGCACCTCATCTTCTTCAGATAAATCACTCATAGATTCAGCATTATCATCTACTTGCCCAGCTTCAACTTTATAAGGATCAGCACCTCCTAAGTTGGTCAACGGGGGTGCTGTCGTCTCAATAGCTACATCAGTTGGAAGACTGCAATCAGTTGTGGTTACCTCTTTGCTGGATACCAACTTATCTAATTTCTTCTTCCTCTCGAACCAATCACCATCCAATGCATCTTCTTCTATCAAAACCCCCTTTAATTCACTGCTATCCAAGTCTTCACAATCCCCATCTTCATAATTCACCCTATACAACCCAGAATCATAACTCATTATCTTCCCCAGAAACATCCCGCTGCCCTCAAACTCCTTACTAACATATCTCCCTACCAGCACCTTGGACCTCGTACCAACCATCCGTTTCTTCCCATCCTGATCCGCCTCCACACTCTGCACATCATTCCTTCTGCGTTTCCTCCCACGCCGCTCTACTCTCCCGCCCATAGCAGCCACCATCCCCCAACAAATCCCGCCCGAATCCTAATCCGAATCACACCAAATACCCAACACTTGCACGCATTCGACAGCAAAATCCTCTATCGTTTCACAACCCCCGCCAATTCCCCGAAAAAGTTAGGGCTTTGTGTTAAATCACAAAACTCACCAGAGTCACGAGAGAAGACAACACCAAAAATCTGCAAAACGAATCACCTACCAGTTCAATTCAATCGGAAACACCCCGTCAAAGGCGAAATTAGGGTTTTCAGTTCATAACCACACAAAAAATATATATATAACTAATTGAATTCGGGGCTGTTCATTCACCATGAATGCAAATTGTTACCTCACCCGCTACGATGATTCCATCGCCATTGAAGAAGAAGAAGAGATGCAGAAAGCGATAGGGGAAAAAAGAGAGTGGTGCGAAGAGTAGTGGTAAGAGCCCTAAGGCAAAGGCATCACCACATGCTTCTCTACCCTAAAATAGTGAGTCAGGGTATCACGATGTTATTATTACGTGGGTTGATTGGAACGGCAACCCCGAGTTTAACTCGTTGACTCGGACGAGTTGCGGTGCGGGGACTTTTACAATTTAAATTTTTCAGTGCACGTAAAACAAATTATTGATAGAATTTTAATGAAATTAGGATTCATTGTCATATCACGCATTATTAATATTTTTAATTTAAATTTATTTTTTTTATGCTTCTCCCAAAAGTAAATACCTGACCAAATCTATATATATACTATATATCTATCTATACTACTATATATATAAAACAAAACAAAACAAAACAAAAAAAAAACAAAACAAAACAAAATTTCAACTTAACTTCCCGCCCACAATCCTCAAATTTTAATATATTGTTTTCTATTTTCCTATTCGTATTATACTTCTACATTAAAATTCATATTCTAATACAATTCCTAATAGAATATATTCTTCTGTACTTTTCTATTCGTACTATAAATTTACATAATTCTACAATAAAATTTCTATTCTGATATTGTAAAATAGTGTCATACAATTCCTAATAGAATATATTCTTTTCTACTTTTCTATTCGTACTATAATTCTATATTAAAATTCTCATATGTAATACAATAAGATAATATTAAAACACTATTATAATATTCCGTGCGCAACAAATAAATCTAGCAGTACAAATACTAGAAATAGAAAGCAACATATATTATAACTAGTATTTTCACCTGTGCGATGCACGGAATGGAATTGTTGTAATATATTAAGAATATTTAAATCGATATATAATTATTTAAGAGTTAATTTCACCGAGGTCGTTTATCTTTCCTGACAATTCCAAATTTAATCCTAGACTATAGTTATTAATTATTACAATTTATTCTATGTTACAACTCTTACGTTAATATTCTTACTATTATTATTAACACTTAATTACTTTTAGATATTATTATTATTATTAGTTTCTTTTCAAGTACTGTTAGTATATAATGGTCGTGAGGCACAATAATAATATAACCATAATTAAATATTGTTGTATTGTATTCCGGAGTTAATGCCATTTTTGGTCCTAGACTTATTGAGGCATTGACACTTTTCATCCTCCATAATAAAAATTGTCACTTAGTAGACACTGTTATTGGTCGTTGGACAGTTTTGATCCTCCGTCAATGAAGTCGTTTGTTGACCGTGAATTAGAAGGGATTTTCTGTCTTTTTATGTCTTATTCTTCTAATCTTGTTTAAACCAGCGCTGATGTGACTCCTGTGAGGCGAGATGGCGAGACTTGGCGGCTAAGTAGTAACCGTCGGTAGTGAGTAGCAGCGAGTTTCTTCTCCGGCGAGTTGTGGGTACGGCGGCGAGCATACGAAGCAATAACTCCTTCCGGCGACGAACCAGTAAGGTAAATCTGGCGGTGCAGCAACAGATCCGGCGAGGTTGGCGCCTTCACCGGTGGTTTTTGGTTCCGGCGAAGCAGAGAGGGCAGCAGGTCGGCGAACCCTCCTATGGTAAATAGCAGTTGTAGTTGTAGATGGCGTGATGTAGAATTTGCACCTGTAAGTCCTCCTTTCCATATTGACCACAAATATCCTTCCCATCTCTCTCTCTCTCTCTCTCTCTCTCTCTCTCTCTCTCTCTCTCTCTCTCTCTCTCTTTCTGACCACAACTACTTGGTGCACAACCTCAAAAACTCTGTTATTCTACCTGAAATTCATTGAAGTTTCAATCTGAAAATGTGGAATCCGCCGCTCCCCAAAAATCGCATTGTCTGAGGTGTTGGAATGGCCGGTGTTGACTTCCTGGCTACTGTAGCTTCATTCCCCAACCCGGATGATAAAATTCGGAGCACCAGCTTTGAGGTTCAAGGAGGTGGTAACACTGGCAATGCTTTAATAAAACCCGGATGATAAAATTCGTCTTGGTGTTAATCCAAGGATCATATCTAAGGTTGCTGATGACTCGCATGGCGAAAGAATACTTGATGAGCTTGAAAGGGATGGTGTTGATACATCTTTTATGGTGGTGTCCAAAGGAGGAAACTCACCATTCACATATGTCATTGTTGACAACCAAAAAAAAAAAAAAAAAAAAAAAAAAAACTCGCACGTGCATTTTCACTCCAGGATATCCACCCATGATATCTGAGGGTCTACATACCCAAATCAAAATTGTCTTCAGCGCTTGGAGTAAATATTGTCTACTTAGATGGAAGGCTGCATGAGACTGCTTTGATTGTAGTGCATGAGGCAAAGAGTAGGGGCATACCTATTATAGTTGATGCAGAAAGGTTAATGGAGGGGTTGGGTGATATTCCTGACTTTGCTAGTTATGTTGTATGCTCGACAAAATTTCCACAGACATGGACTAACGCCCTTTCTATTCCAACTGCACTTGTTTCCATTATCTTGAGATTGATGTCAAATGTAAAATTCGTGATTGTTAGTTGGGTGAAGATGGTTTCTTAATGTTAGAAAGGACTGAAGCGGATAACCTCAGTTTGAAGAAATGGATGTAGCAGTGACCAACAGATTGAGAAATACAAGGTTCAGAACATAAAAAGACAGAAAAACCATTCTATTTCACGGTCAACAAACGGCGTCATTGACGGAAGATCAAAACTGTCCAACGATCAATAAATGTGGCTACTAAGTGGTAATTTTTATTAAGGAGGATGAAAAGTGTCAATGCCCCAATAAGTCTAGGACCAAAAATGGCATTAACTCTTGTATTCCGTGAGTCACAATAATAATATAACAATAATTAAATATTGTTCAATTCTATATTCTTCTAGGATTTCTATTACCATCATTAATTATTCCCAAATTTACCATAATTAAATAATTTGACCAATTATAAAGAAAGATTATTAAATAATGCACGGGACAATTCTTGAATTAAAAATTTTAAAAATTCATTAATAAAACATAAGGTTCTCATAGTTTTTTCTTAGAAACTCTTTAATAAAGTAAATTTTTTTAGAAATTGGTGGGCCAAACCGCCTACGGCGGTTTGCGGTGGATAGATCTCGGAAAAATACGCGATTTCAAAAAAACATTTGTCCAAAACGGACAACGGCGTCAAAAGTTATGCCTTGCCGAACTTTTGACACTTTACAACTTAAAAAAAAAAAAAAATATTAAAGGCCGGTTCAGCCGTCAAGGCTCCCGTTGAGGAGGCCGATTTCACGATTTTGTTTTAGAAATTGGGCGGAAAGTTAAAATTTCAGGATTTTGTTTTTATATATAGTATAGATTGTATTACACTATTTTATAATAGTAGAATAGAATTTTAACGCAGAATTATTGTACGAATGGGAAAGTAGAAATCAATATATTTTATTAGGAAGAGAGATTTTTTAGGAATTGGGTGGGAAATTAAAATTTCAGGATTTTGTTTTTATATATAGTATAGATTGTATTACACTATTTTATAATAGTAGAATAGAATTTTAACGCAGAATTATTGTACGAATGGGAAAGTAGAAATCAATATATTTTATTAGGAAGAGAGATTTTTTAGGAATTGGGTGGGAAATTAAAATTTCAGGATTTTGTTTTTATATATAGTATAGATAGTATTACACTATTTTATAATATTAGAATAGAATTTTAACGCAGAATTATTGTACGAATGGGAAAGTAGAAATCAATATATTTTATTAGGAAGAGAGATTTTTTAGGAATTGGGCGGGAAGTTAAAATTTCAGGATTTTGTTTTTATATATAGTATAGATAGATTGTATTACACTATTTTATAATATTAGAATAGAATTTTAACGCATAATTATTGTACGAATGGGAAAGTAGAAATCAATATATTTTATTAGGAAGAGAGATTTTTTAGGAATTGGGCGGGAAGTTAAAATTTCAGGATTTTGTTTTTATATATAGTATAGATTGTATTACACTATTTTATAATATTAGAATAGAATTTTAACGCAGAATTGTTGTACGAATGGGAAAGTAGAAATCAATATATTTTATTAGGAAGAGAGATTTTTTAGGAATTGGGCGGGAAGTTAAAATTTCAGGATTTTGTTTTTATATATAGTATAGATTGTATTACTCTATTTTATAATATTAGAATAAAATTTTAACGCAGAATTATTGTACGAATGGGAAAGTAGAAATCAATATATTTTATTAGGAAGAAAGATTTTTTAGGAATTGGGCGGGAAGTTAAAATTTCAGGATTTTGTTTTTATATATAGTATAGATTATTGTTAATTTTATCGTTATTATAATATATATATATATATATATATATATATATATATATATATAGTATTTGAACATATATCAATTAGAAAGGGATGACTAAGTAGTAAAATAGTCAAACATAATATTAACAATACAACAATATTAAAATTCATATTTCTATTCAACAATATTATATTATTCATTTTTTCTGTTAAAAATTATATTCTCTATTATTCTTCCAAAAGGCTGAACCCCAACCTTAAGGGCCCCCACACTCCGATATATATTCTCTATTGTTAGTTTTATAATTCTCCGTTAATTCTCTGTTAAATTTAATAAATTTCAAACTCCCATTAAAACTCAACTTCCTGGCTAAATTATTAAGATTTAAATAAAAAAATTCTTAAAAACATGCATGCTTAATTCCCAGTTAAAATCAAACTCAATCTCCCAACTCCATGCTGTACTCAAACACTCCTAAATCACCTATAAATATAGCTCAAAATCCAGCACTCGATCACTTGAAAAAGAAGATTGAGGAAGAGCAATTTGGAGCATTCCATTCGATTAACTTTAGTTTCTATAGGTGAAGTAAGGATTACAAGTTCCTTTTTGGTGATTATGCAGTTTATGTTTTTTTTAATGTTGCAGTATAAAATGCTATATTCATGTTTTAGTTTCCTTTTATATTTATTTATTAACTGTTTTCTATTATAGTTGTTTCTCTTGAATTTTCGCATATTGCAGAAAGTATTTCTAGCTAGTGATCATCATTCTCAATTTTATTAGGTAATAACAGATTAAAAGTTCCTCA